TGAAAATGAATATCTGATGAAGGGCTTCAGCAATGTATCGATCAGTCTAAGTTTTTGCTCCTCGGATGCCATCGAGCGCAGGATGCCGTCCGCCTTGTCCAGTACCGCCTCGTTGAGTTCCCACCTCTGGCGATGCCAGTTGAGAGATGGCGTTAGCCAGACTCCCAGGTACCGGTAGGGCTCATCATTGGGGTGGAGAAAGGGTACCGCCTGGTTGCTGATTCTCACTTGGCCGTGCAACCTTTGCCGCAGCACTTGTACTGCGTTTTTGGACAACGGTGCCCCGTTGACCTGCCGGCTGGCTGTGGCGCCATACAGCATGCCGGTGACGCCACATTTGGCGTGGTTAACCACCATTCCAGACCATTGCAGGAACCTGGTAATCTTGTCGGCCTGGTGCTTCAAGTGGAGCAGGCTATTGGTCATGATGAGCAGATCGTCTGCAAAGGCAGGTGCGCTGCAGGCCTCGGCTGTGGCCTCATCGGGGCGTGAACAACCGTGTTTGTATCCCCTGCCGCCAGAGTGCAGCCAGCGCAACAGGGGTTCGATGAATAGTAGGAACAGAAATGGGGACAGGGAGTCCCCTTGCAGGGTGCCGCGATCAATATCAATCGGGTCTGAGTCTCCAAAAGCTGTCGTGATCATAGTGCGGGCCCCGGTGTACAGCTTTTGCACGGCGAGTACAGCGTGGTGGGGAAAGCCCATGTCCCACATTAGTTGCAACAACTTGTCGTGGTCCACCGTGTCGAATGCAGCGCTGAAGTCGATGTAGAGCATGTAGATGTCGCGGTCAAAGAGTTTGGCGTCCTCTAGCGCGTTCAACACGCTGAAGAGGGCCTGGTGGGTGCTGCGGCCATGCCGGAACCCAGCCTGCTTGCTTGTGCTTGTGTGGGCTTAAAGTCTGGTAAAGCAAGAACTAGCTTGCAACATAGACTCCCCGCCGAAACGGGACGGGAACCGGGCGAAAGCAGAGAAAGCAATAAAACAGGGGTGGAGCAAGGCGACTTGAGCCTGTGAGTCGGTGAGGATAGCGTGACGCTCAGCGTACTCGGAGAGGACTCCTGTGATTAGCGCTGTCCACAGCTTGTAGATAGTGAGTGCCAGGCCGATCGGGCGGTAGTTGGCGGGGTCTGTCGGGTCTCCTTTTTTGTACAACATCACGGTGTTGCTATGCTTCCAAGCGGTGGGTGTATCTCCCGTGAGCCACATTGCCACGAACATCTGGTGGATGCCACGGCGGAGCTGCTCAGGCAGGAATTTCAGGAGCTCATTGGGCACCTCGTCGGGCCCTGGTGCTTTGTTGTTGGCTGCCCTCCTGAGAATGCTCTCAAAGGTTCCGTAGTCCTTAATTCTGGGCAGCAGGTCCTCCCTGCGGCTATGGGGGTCAACCCGGGTGCTCACTTGCATTCTATCCACTGCGTCGGCCGCTTCCCACGGGTACCCTCGTGATCCTGCCACGGGCGCATCAGCGCAGTAGTGTCCCGTTTTTCCTGCAGCCGGCGCCGTCGCCGTTTTTTGGCGCTGGCCGCGCAAGATGCGCAACAACTCTTGGGGTTCAGAGGTGAGTTGTTTCGTGGATGGGTCACGTAGCACCTCAATGCCACGAGGCTTATCGGCGTCCCGGTTAGCAATATCTCTGTGGCCCCACTTTGGCTGGCGGGCGTATTTCGCCCGCCACGCGGCGGCGGCGCGTTCCCAGCTCTGCAGTTTGTCCTTACGGAGCAAGGTGCGACGCTCCATCCTGATTGCGTGTAGACGTTGCTGGAGCGCCGTCATAACTGAGCTCATGGGTGTGGTAGGCATGGAGGTGGCCGGGGCAGTTTGCGAGTGCCCTGCGCTCTCGGCGTTGGGTTCGCCCGCTGGGGTTGGATGCGTTGCCGTTGGTGGTGTTAGCAGTTGCTCCCTCAGGGTGCGCATGGCCTCTTGCTTGCTTGTGTGGGCTTAAAGTCTGGTAAAGCAAGAACTAGCTTGCAACATAGACTCCCCGCCGAAACGGGACGGGAACCGGGCGAAAGCAGAGAAAGCAATAAAACAGGGGTGGAGCAAGGCGACATGCAACGCAAGCAGCTGACAGGGCACGCATCGAAACGTGTGTATGACTGGCAAAGTGGCATGGCGCATTGGGGAGAAACGCAACGGTACGGGAGCATGGGCTGGCCAAACGGCAGTGCGGAACGCTAGGTCACTAGAAAAGCAGGGAAAGGCGCACTATGTATGCAATGAGGGCAGCCCCGGCTCGGGGCCGTTGAGAAAGCAGTGGGCGGGAGGGGGGAGGCCCCGGTGTGGGCGGGCCCCATCGAGGGGGGATGGGGCGCGCAAGCGGCCAGATGGGGCGGGGCGCGGGCGGCAGTGGAGTCCTGCGGCTGGGTGGGATATAGGGCAATGAGCGTTGAGCAGTGTGCGATGAGCAATGAGCAATGAGCAGTGAGCAGCCCCTCCCTAAACAAAGTGAAGCGCAGGACGGGGTCCGGTGGATGGGAGGCAAGGAAACGCGGGGGGTTGCCACGTGCGCTACCGCCGCCGCCGCAGGCAGCACCCCTGCGGCGGCGGCAGCGGCAGCAAGCCGTGGACCCAAACGCCGTGCCGCCGCCGCCGCAGGCAGCACCCCTGCGACGGCGGCGGCAGCAAGCCGTGGACCGAAACGCCGTGCCGCCA